GCAGGTGAAGACTAATCTTGTTTAATGCCCTGTGTTCATGCACTGTCCAAGTCTGAACCCATTCACTGCTACGTCCCTCATACCTGGCTGCCCTGTCACACGGTGTGTTCATCCTGGAGGGGAGCAAGAAGTGAGAGCATGACTGAAAACATAACTACTCATCTCCCAAAAAACAAACTAAAGTGACTGTCCTTGCAGTGGTAGCCTATGTGGAGCCACAGATCATTATGGAAATTGTAAATGTACTTAAAATGTTAGGAGATAATTTTGTGTGGGGTTTGTTTGCTTGTTATTGTATTTGTGCAATTCTTTGAACATGAACTTTGAAGGTGACACTATGGTCCAGAGGAGCCAAATAGTTAGACAACCCTGTGTGCTTGCTCTGTGCCAGAAGATTGTGCACCATGACCAAGGCAACTCCTACAAGGACAACATTTAATTGGGGCTGGCTCACAGGTCAGAGGGTCAGTCCATTATCATCTAGACAGGAGACTGGCAGCATCCAGGCAGGCATGGTGCAGGCAGAGCTGAGGGTTCACCATCTTCATCTGAAGGCTGGTAGTGGAAGACTGACTTCCAGGAAGCTAGGATAAGGGTCTTAAACCCCATGCTGACAGTGACACACCTACTCCAACAAGGCCACACCTACTCCAAAAAGGCCACACTTCCTAATAGTACCACTGCCTGTGCCAGAAGATTGTGCAAAGGGTTGAGTGTGAAGGCAGGAGTGACTGGGATAGTCAAGGCCCACACCCATCAAGAGGCTTCATTCTTTTAGAGCTTCGGTTGAGTCCTCTAGATGAGAGACAGGAGAGGTTGCCCATTGGCTTACAGACTGGCACTTGGCATTTATATTTTATAGAGAAGGACTCTAAGAGACCCAGAAGCTTGTTAGGGTTCCTGGTTGGTGCCATGCCTCAGTCCCTCTTCACTGGGCATCTGGAAGTCTCACAGAAATCCCAGTAGCCTCTTCACACACTGAATACATGACTTCTGCTTAGTGCTGAGCACAGTCAGTCTAATTACTACGCAGCCTGCAGATTGGCTACTAACATCCTCATGCTGAGGGGGAAAAAGGTACCCAGAAAGGTACCTGACCACCTCAGACCAGACAGCACTGAGCATCTTGGTGAGAGTCACAATGGGATGTGCCAGCATCTTCAGCACTGACTCTGCCCTCCCCACTTCTGTCTATGTTTTGTCCCATGGTGTTCAGGGCACATAGTAGATGTTCAAGGATTCTCTGTGTCTGACTCCTTAGGTATCTATCCGGCTGGATGGTGAGAACAAGGCAGTTGAGTACAACGCTGTGGGTGCCATGAAGGATGCTGTCCGGGTGGTCTTCCGAGGCCCCCGAGTTGATGACCTCTTTGACCGTGAGTGGCACAAGATGGCTTTAAGCATCCAGGCCCAGAATGTGTCCCTCTACATTGACTGTATGCTGGTTCAGACGCTGCCCATTGAGGAGAGGGAGAACATCGACATCCAGGGCAAGACTGTGATTGGCAAACGTCTCTATGACAGCGTGCCCATTGATGTGAGTACCCGAGAGGCTCCTGAAGTTAGTGCCAGGGCTACCGAAGGGGACCTCAGACTCTAGGTGCCTCAGTGTTCCCCCACATCTGTAGTTCCGATTTATAATCTATTAATGAATCATCAAATGGATTTTCTGAGGAGAGAGGACTCTTAATCAGAAGGCAGCATTCTGGAGTCCAAATTTCTCACTCACTCACTCACTCACTCACTCACTCACTCACTCACTCACTC